ATACATATTGTTGGATTAAAGTTAAAAGGATGGATACCACATTCATATTGTTAGATTAAAGTTAAAAGGATGGATACCACATACATATTGTTGGATTAGAGTTAAAAGGATGGATACCACATACATATTGTTGGATTAAAGTTAAAAGGATGGATACCACATTCATATTGTTGGATTAAAGTTAAAAGGATGGATACCACATACATATTGTTGGATTAGAGTAAAAAGGATGGCTACTACATACATATTGTTGGATTAGAGTAAAAAGGATGGCTACTACATACATATTGTTGGATCAGAGTCAAAAGGATGGATACCACATACATATTGTTGGATCAGAGTTTAAAGGATGGATACCACATACATATTGTTGGATCAGAGTCAAAAGGATGGATACCACATACATATTGTTGGATCAGAGTCAAAAGGATGGCTGTAGTTTTTATACTCGCCTTTGAAATTGCGGGGTTTAAAGGCCTCCCCCTTATGATTCATAGAGTCCTCTGTGTACCGATCAGTTTCTTCTGTTTACTTCAGTTATTTCTATAGCTACGTCAAAGGAGTTCCTTACCCAAAAACAAATCCCGTTATGACATCCGTCCGTGGTACCTGAACACGTGTGCCACACTGAGTTTCGCTAGTTTGTGATTGGGAGTATAAACACCGTTTCAAACATGGCGCCCTCCAGAAACACGAGTAGGGAAGGACGCAAAGTCTAATGCAAAATTCGGACATTTCTATTTCTAGAACTTCATCATGCCGGGGGGGGGGGCGTGAGGGCATATTCTACCCCTCTTTGTAAGGAAGCTACATCCCGGGTTCGCTTGCCAAGTTTGGTCTTTCTAGCTTCAAAATTGTGTGAGGAATTCGTTGAAAAACCCACAACCTGAATTAATATGTATGATTGCTATGAACATTTTCGGTTAACGTGTATCAAATTTGAACTTGTTATGTAGCATACGTTAAGATTAGCAAAAAAAAGTAACAACATTTCTTATTTGATTTTAATCTCAATTTTACATATCACTCTCAAACAAACGTGCATACCGAAACGTTTACTTCAGCGTCTCTGCCTGCAGTCGTAATGAAATAGTAGAATAAAGGTTATCAATCTAAGAAGGACGCAAAACTCTGTCATTTCAACGACAGGACATTTAGATTTTGTTACAGTGCTGCATGTTTCAGAGATTTTTAAAATAACTTACCTCTGTCTCACGGAGTCTACGCATGGATGCAGGATGATAAACCACAATAAGATGTTCCACGATAATGAAGGGACGTCAATTTTTCTTTTATACCTGAAAGAAAGCTCTTTTTGAGACATTTAGTTTGAAGTAGTACTTGTCTACATTATACAATCACTCTGACTGATTGCTTTATAGAACGTCCGCGCTCATATACACAAATTCGTAGAATAATCTTATTTGGAAAACAGATTTGTTATGTAATGATCTCTACAAATTCGGAGATGCGGTCATATCATGCTTCATCTGCAAACCGGTGGGTAAGAACAAGGACCTGTTCGACTTTCAAAGGAGTAGTACCGTCTAGCAAAACTATTGTTATAAAAGACTATTTCTAACTAGCTGTTATAAAGAGAAAGTTATGTTATCAGAATCTAATAACATTAGCAGTTGAAAGGAAAAATATTTTACGCCAACTGCTGGAAGAAAATGATTGCACGGATTGTTAAAATGGAAATGACATGATTCTCTTTCTCTTTTAACCTAACCATTTCCTTCAACAGTGTTTAGGATTTAATTATCTTCAGCTGTATTATGGGAAGAACATTGTCAAAACTGATTCACAGCAGCTTACAACCAGTCTGAAAACAAATTCTCTCAGGATAGTAAAGCTTTAGTGGTGGAGCGGAAGCCCTGGACAAAGAAGGAATGGAAGAGTGTAGCGTGGTCCGAGTCGCATTTTGACCTTTTCTGTGTTAATAGATAGCAGAATAAAATTACGCTGAAAACCACATGAAGCTCTTAATTCTTCGTATGTTTCCGATAATGTAAGTTGTGTAAAGAGGTGAAATATGATATCAGAAAGGTTTTAATGGTAGGACGTGGATCCTCTAGAAGAGCAAGTAACATCCGGAGTGTACCTAACGTTCTTGCAAGCAGAATCACGTGATCTCAATATAAGTAGCTATTTCTAAGATGCGCGTGAACGTTACATTCGCCACCATTATCTTCTACTGAGAACCAACTGTAGACCACGTCCCTCGATGGAGGAAATAACCCAAGAAGGCGTCTTCCAGCATCTTATGGAAGTTTATGCTACCTTACGTCCACGCTATTATCGCTGCGAATATTAGGTGTGGGTCCCACATAATAATGTGATTAATCCGTGGAGGTGTTTAGAAAAACAGTAGATGGGTGTTTATTAGCATAACTCACGACAAAAATAGAAACTCTGAAATTCTACAAATTACCAAGTATACAACAGTAATTTATAAACAGAATTTCAACATATCCAATAATGTAGTTTGATCTAAAGATGGTGTTTATCTGCTGAGACTTCAGAGTCTGTTAATTCTGACAGAAATAATAATTGTTTTATTGTTTAGTCTATCACGGTTTTATATACAAACTACATGTAATCTAATATACTGGTCAACGTGGGTTATTTCTGGCGCATTCTTATGCATTCTTAATATTGATTTTTAACATACGTATATTTGTATTTGTGGTAAGGCTATTAGGGCTATCTGCCGCCGTCCCTAATTTGGAATTACTTATCAGAGAGAAAGAATTCAGCCAGTAAGCAGCACCCTAGAACGCACCAATTACATTAAGGGATTGACTGTCGTTTTACGGCATCCCTAACTACGAAAACAGAGCTCTACCACAGGGCCAATAAGCGCTTAACGTACACGTAGTACTTAATTTTAACACTGTTAAAGTGTTTTTTTAAAAGTGTTGAAGAGCAAGAAATAAAATAAAATAAAGCTAATTTAACAAGCAAACAAAAACACAACCCACATTAAACATAACACAACAACCATAAGAAGATAACAGTCAAGAACAAGCAGTAAACCCGATTATTGAAGTAGTCAAAAAACATTTTACGATTTCATTACACAATACAGTAGCGCACGGGAAGACTGCATAACACTACTCTTAAATATAGCCAAACAACACTTAATACCGATATATATAATACAACAGTTCATGTATCCTACAACACATAACATACAAGATTCAACAATACAAAGAAAATAATACACGCAAAATAAACACAACAGAAACCAGACAACATTACATGGACATGGCCCTGAATAGGAGATAACTAATAAAAAAGCAAACACCGCTAAAACATAAAATACAGTAATACACATTAAAAACAATAAGAAAGCACAGTACAATTGCAAAGGAGGGGGAAAGAGGTCCCTCCCAGGACATCAAGACCTAAATCCCTATGCTGAGAGAGAGAGACGAAAATTTTACACAGATGGAAGTTAGTATGGGATAATCCTCCCTAAATATGGTCCGGATTCGAATTTGGATCCGGATTCTAGATCACTTTGAACCTTTTTTTTATATAATGCGGAGATAGGGCATTTTGTGGTTTGGGATTAATAACTCTATAACGTGTCATTGTATTTGTACCATATTTCATGGGCGCATTCTAGTTAAGACTCCTCATCACATTACAAATAAAAGCAATCAGAAAGGTTCCATACCCTCGTCCCGCCGCTCCTTTTCGAAATTATATGTGTTTATATTGGATAACATCAAATTTCTCCTTCGAAAACTCAAAAAACCCTTCTCAGATCCATAATGATCAACGATCCGGATCATTTTTGTAGTGTGATGAGGATTTTCAATCTTAATGTGTCCATGAACTTTGGTCCAAATCCGACCACACTTTACAGAGTTATTAACCCAAAATCTCGAAAATTCTCTATCTCCCCGATATAAAAAAAAATGCTTCAAAGTGACCCAGAACCCGGATCCGGACCAAATTTGGGGAGGATAGTTCCATCTTGTGTACAATTTTCGTGTAGATCGGTCAATTAGTTTTCGAGATACGCGCGTGGAAATACAGACAGACACACATACACACACAGAGCTGATTGTAATAACCTCGCCCCCCCCCCCTCCAGGGTTGAGGGTAAAAATGATCCGGTTCGTTGATTATTCTGGATCTGAGAAGGATTTTCTGAGTTTTCGAAGGTGAAATTTTGAAGCTATTCAATATAAACGCATGCAATCTCGAAAAGGAGTGGCGGGTCGAGAATATGCAATCCCTCCGATTGCTCTTGTTCAATGTTATGACACAATTAGTTTTACCACATAAAAACAGGTAAGTGATTTATTCATAAAGTTCTTGTACCGATTGAATGTAAATAAAAATGTCTCTCAGGGATAGATTGAACTGGAAAAAAGGTAAAATGACGTACATAAATTCAAAGCAAATACATTTTACGTCGGTGATAAAAAAAAACAACCTCACAACCAATACAATTTATTTTACATTCACAAATGTATAGCGAGACGTATTCCGTATCAAGTCTACAATATTTACATACTTAACGAGCCTTTTCTTGAAAGTAGTTCATGTGAAGTTCAAAAAACAAGATAAAACCGTACTTAAAACTCGCAATTGTCCAATAACCGTAAACTTTATTCATCTATATAACAAACGAACCGACGAAGTGAAAATTCTTTAAAAAAATATTAAAACTTTGTTAGTTCACAATCCACTTTATATTCGTACATTTGGACAAGACTTCTGCGCTATCAGCATTATACGAAACCTTTCTTGGAGCTAAATGTTGCCTGTTTTGTGTTCTATGCTTTCAACAGTGTACACAAAAGTGAAAGAAAAAAAATGACGTTTTAATTGACCTCTGAAGGGTACAAGTGAAAATAAGTGGTATGTTTGATCTCCTTATTAACGAGAACTGGTTCCATCTAATAACATTTACCAGATCTTTTGCTGAAAATGCTAAACCATAGTATTAGATTAGTTCATTGAATGATAGCCCAAAGTCTTAAACAGTCGACGTTGACTTGCAGAAGGAATAATCCGCAAAAAACAACTCGAACGTGATATGTTTAGTCAATAAATTGATGTGATAATATCTCGACTAACGTCTTTGTTCAACTGACAATAAGAACACAGATGTAAATAATAATGTTCGTGAACACTATGCCAAAATCCACATCGGCCATATTGTTGTAACGTGTTCTGTTGTTGGGCGGGTTCTTTTGAATTATTTGGTAAAATTAATGCCAAGTCGAATCCACGTAACGATAATAAACACATTTATTATTTAATTTCTGTTGTGCTTATTGGTGTGTAAAAGACATTTTAATACTTGAAATAAACGACCTTATAACACCAATTTGTTATTTTTCTTCAACAGGACACTCAACGTTTCGCTTTACAGCTTCTTCTGGAGCGTTTCACTAAATCACAAACCGTTACTGACAGTTCAATACTGTTAAAAAAATGTTTTGAAGGTTTTGTTAGTTAAGGTTTGTGTCTTATTGGAACAATCCTGAAGAAGCTTTAAAATGAAACGTTGAGAGTCCAATTAAAGAAAACTTATGACAAAAATTTAGTTTTATAAGGTCATTTATTTCCAATATTAAAATACGTTCATTTCTTTAATACCGTTTGCTACAGTACAAGCTACGTTCAGTTGTAGGCCTAACTTCACTAACAATGTTTTAGCAGAAATTCCAAGAGTAATGACACCTACGTCAAATTCACAAATAAATTTACCTGCAGAATATCCTGGCTAATCGATCGACAACAAACTTGCTAACTAACTCACTGTTTAACTTACTAATTGAATCACTGACTGACATTGAACTGATTCATTTATTGATTACTCATTACCTGTTAATACACTGAATACTTCACTGATTCTGGTTCACTCACTTTGGCATTTATATCATGACACGTTTTTACTTACTACACGAAACTTTTAGGTTTATAACGTTCATGAAATTTCTTGATGACGCCATGACACACTCCCTTTATCAACGAACATCTAAATTAAAATATTGAAAATATAGCTTACACCAATATGAAAAACCCTACTTCACTAATCAAAATCCTCTCACAAGCAAAGTATTTAACCAACACAAAATTTAAAGCAAATTTTTTTCTTTCTGTTTTTAACCCAGCATTAAACAAAAATAAAGTATTTTCATTAGCCTAATTTCGAAAAGTTAATATAACACCTAGACACACGGAACTTAATATTCTGTCCCGCAGTGGAGCAGCGATAACTTTACGGACTTATAACGTAAAACAAACTCCATCTTCTATGGAGCA